ACTGCTCCAGTGATGTTCTCTGGGAAGCCTCGCAATCTTCGTCGCATGTAATATTTTATTCTTTGTTAAGGCTTTTTTTCTTGAACTGTCTGAGAAGTGCATCATTCCAGCGGTATTCGATGGGTCGCGATTTTTTCACTGATAATTTTATAATTTTTAGTTTTGTGCGAAACTGCAAAATCAAGCGGATTTGTCCACCGACAGGATGATGCTGGTGATCGAATGGTTGAAGACACAGCTGGACACAGTGGATCTGATTGTGCTGTCGGTGGTACTGCTCTCCGCTGTTTACTATCTGTGGAAAAATCGACTAACAAAAGCGGCTGATAAATATGCACCAGCGGTACTTCCCAGTTACACGCCCATCAGGTGCGCACCCGACAGACAGATCTCCTTCATTACGCGCATGAAATCGGAAGGCAGAAAGGTTTTTGCATTTTCTGGAACTTACGGATTCCTTTGATTTTTTTTTTTTTTTTTTTCAAAGCAAATTGTACTTGCTTGTTTTACGCCAGAGCCATTTTTATGCGCCTTTTGCAGCTATGCAATGCAAAAACGCACGTAGACGAGCGGTTATCTGTGTGTCCGTGTGTCTGTGTGTCTGTGTGTCTGTGCGTCTGTGTGTGCATCTGTCACGCACTTTCATCTCAAGACCAATGAAAGCTGCAGGGCTGAAATTTCTGGAACTTATTCTACATGCACGTGCCGGCTCCAGTCCCCAAAATGGGTGCCATCACCCGTGTGGTACCCGCGCACGGGCCCGCCAAAGTTTTTTTGGAGTTGGTTCATAACTAGGGGATCTGAAAAGCTAGAACGCTGAAATCTTACGGGGTTGTTCCCTGTCCAAGCGGGTATTAACGAGTTCAAACCCTGCTCGTGGGTAAGCGTGGTACCTACGTACGGGCCCGTGAAAGTTTCTTCTGGGTAAGTTGGCAACTCGAGAACGTGAGAAGCTAGAAGACTGGAATTTTGAATAGATGTTTCCTGACAGTTCTGGCGGCCAGTCTGAAAGTCTTTTAGCTAGAAACATCTGCCGAAAAAATCAGTGCCGTTCGCGACAAAAATCTGCGGGAACTGTGCAAAAAACGCATCTTCGCATGGGCAGCCCGTGCGTTGGCCAATTATTTTCTCAGGTCAAAAGACAAAATCCCTTCCGTGCTTACTGTCTGTGGAAGGAGGAGGCATTCGGAAGTAGCTCAAATGGTAGCGCGCACCAGTAGCAACCATTCGTTGGCAAATTTTTGATGGCTCAGCGCTTCTGAGAGTTAAAGAGTTCTTTATAAACTTACTGATGATGAATTTGACTCCGTGGCAAACACTACTGTCAGTTTTCCTCCCTTTTCTTCCTCTTCTGTCTGCTTAATCGTTTTTCCTTACTCTCTTCCCTTCTTTCTTTCTTCCTTGCGCACTGCGACCGTCATACTGACGAGGTCAAGTTGCAGTGTGGAGTTAAGACGTATATGACTTAATGGACCGAAACGTCTTAGCTCACTCTTACCCCCGACCTTCATTACCCTTTCTTGCTTTTGCGCAACCCACCGTCTGCACTTCCAGGATTGACCTGGAAGCTGCAACCTACTTACCAGTGAAAGGGATAAGCTAATTGTAGAGGGACAGATTAAGGTCGAATCATGGACTTACTGCTACGACAACAGTTTCCTACTTCATCTTGCCTTGTTTTGGACACTTTTGCTTAGAAAATTCCCAGCTTTGTAGGTTTCCTCATTTTTTCCCATGCTCAAAATGGACATGGTCGTTCGGTTGTCTGTAAAATGGGTGTTACTCGTCAAAACGGCCTTTCAGTGAGGTATTATGTCGTAGAAAAATTAAAACTTCTTTTCCTTGCTTTGAAGCTTTTTTTTTTGCTTTTTTTTGCCTTTTGAAGCCTTTTCTTTTTTTTGCCAAAGTATTTCCAAAACTAGTACTCATGGTATCTGCGTTCGTATTGAGCTAGCTTTTTTATGTAAAATCTCAAAGAATGTACTGATAAAACACTTTATATGTACAGGCATGGAAATCCAAGAAATGAAGAGGAATTTTTGCAGGTTCTGATAATTTATGGCTCGCAAACAGGCACGGCCGAAGAACTGGCTGGTCGTCTGGCGAAGGATGTTCAAAATTATGGACAAAAGGTTGTTCCCCAGTCTTATTAAATACTAAACAGCCTTCATGTTCACTCCCTTATTTTGATTCTAGGGCTGTTGTTGATAGGTCTTGGTTATCGCGTTGATAAAATTTCGCTAAAATTTTCAGGCTCTTCTAGTTGATCCAGAAGAAATGGATTTGGAGGATTTTGCTAGAATTAAAGAAATTGACGGCCTGCTTGTGATACTCTGCATGGCAACATATGGTGAAGGTGATCCAACTGACAACGCGCAGGATTTTTATCAGCATATCTCGGAATCTGATATGGATTTGAAAGGCATTCAATTTGCCGTAAGTTCTGCCGTATCCAAAGTACAATATTTTGGTATTTTAACAATTGCCTTACTACTGTCGTGGCGCATTTTTGCAACTGTTAAATTATCGCAGTATTTTCAAGTGATTTTTTTAGTTATTTAGGCTGAATCTGGTCATTTTGTTTGCGATCCTTATGTTTGTTTCCTTATTTTTTATCTGATCAATTAGTACGTATGGAATATTTAGAAATCCATAACCTGTTTCCCCATCTATGTATCTGATAAAATTCCCAACTGCCTTATGAGTAGCCTGTTTTGGCGTTCGTTTTCTTTCCTGAATGGATTATCAGCTCAGTTTGGTTCTCCCAACACAGCAGATGGCAAACTTTTAACCATTTCGAGATCGCCTTGATATGTTTTGAACTTTTCCATTTTTTTCCAAACGTTGCTGTGCTTGAACCACTATGAGTTAACTTACCGATAAGGTTGTGTGTACTCCAAGTTTCAGTTGGAAAGTTTAATTTTTTACTTTAAACTTCTCATTATTGGTTCTCTGCTTGTAATGACTGTTAGCTTTTGACATTTTGAGTAAACTGTTGAAATGAATCGAACAGTTTTGGATGAGCTGATCCTTTTAGATTAAGATTTTACATCAAATTTACTTCAAATTTACACACCCTAACTTTTACTTTTTACAAACCTTAATTTGAATAACACAACTATTTAATATTTAAAATTAAACTCAAATTTACACTAATTACCACAATCTTCGTACTGACGAAGTCCAGTTGTGGTAATGGTAAGAAATGTATGCGATATAATGGGCCGAAACATTTCTTACCATTATATATTTTATAATATTTTGCAACTTTTACTAATTTCTTAATATTATTTGCTTTTTCTTCTTCCAACATTGAAATATTTTTCTATTTTAAAAAACAACGCTTCATAAAATCCATTTGATTTACGTCTTTTTCATTTGTTATTAGCAGGGAGCAGAACAAGTACGCTCTCTGGGATATCACCATGGCCATTGTTTTGCGGTTGAAATCGTTAATGCTACTTTTATGCAGCCTTTAGTCTTTCACTTTTTTCCTAATCTTTTTGGTATTTTTAGAGTCT